ACAGGGGGCTGGGCTGGGGAGATGGCTCAGTGGAATAAGCGCTTCCCTGGCAAGCGCAAGGGCCTGAGTTCAATCCCCGGTTCCACCAAAAAAAAAAAAGTATATATAAAAAAAAGTATAAAGACAAATTTACCTAAACTCAGGATAATGGTTACTGTTCTTAAACTGAGTCTGAGAAGTCTCTGAGTTGGGAACAAGGAAGTTATCCCATTGATTCCTAGAATAAGTCTGCAGGTTTGCTGACTACTGTTGTGGAAAGGAATTTTCAGGATGGGTCAGTAAGACGCAAGGGAAAGTTTATTAGGGATTTTGGGATGCACTTTAGTGGAGTGTGGGTGCTAGAGAAATGAGACACACTATTTCCTGGAACAGAAAACGTTTATGCTTCTCTTGAATGGGTGAAAACTCTGGAAAAAGGTGCCCTCCCTCAAGGGTAGAAGCCAATTCTACAGGTAGGGGCTTTTTTTTTTTTTTTTTTAAATGTATTGGTACAGGGTCTCACTATGAAGCTTGGACTGCAGTGATCGGCCTGTTTTCAGCCTTGTTTTATTTTTATTTTTTGGCGGAACCAGGGATTGAACTCAGGCCCTTGTGCTTGCCAGGGAAGCACTTATTCCACTGAGCCATCTCCCGGGCCCCCTTGTTTGATTTTTTAAATAGGTCATTTAAACATTCTTTGGAGTCTCTAAACCTGTTTCTTTATGTTAGGGTCAGGCTCCTATTCTCTACTTTTTCAATTGAGCCTATTTATGGGTTTTCAGTATTCCTGAAGAATTTAGGGTGTGATGGGTCTGGATAGAATGCAGCCTGAATTTAACCAAGGGAATGGTAACACGGTTCATCTTAGGAGTGGTTTTTTTTTTGTTTTGTTTTTGAACCCAGGGCTTTCACTTTTGCTAGGCTATAGGTAAGCATTATACCACCGAACCAAACGCTCAGCCCCTAACATGGATCATCTTGAGTGATTCTGAGACCCAAAAGTTGCAGTCTTCTTAAGAGTACAATCTGTACTTACTTCTGTCTTCCCGCAGTTACTTGGGGGGTGGGCAGGCCTGAGATGTATAACATATTGCAATTTTATTCACAGTCTATGATAAGCATTATTCGTACGTGTATGCGTTTACTAGGTATTGAACCCACGGCCTTCGCACTGAGCTACAGCCAAAACTTTTTAACTTCTGAGACAGAGTCTCCCCAAGTCGCTACATTGCTCAGGCTGGGGTTGAACTTGCGAGTCTCCTGCGTAGCTTACTCACGAGGAAGTTGAGGTTCCAGGAATTTAAGTTCAGCTTGGTCTTGACAACGGGTTCACTGAACGAGGGCGAGGCGATTTCCTCGCAGGTCTCTCGGGCACTCTCTTCCTAACAGTCTCCGAGGGCCTCCGGGCGCCTAGACAGGATCAGCCCTCCTCCCCGCAGGGGTCGAAGTCCATTCCGGTCCCGCCCCGCGCATCGGCCCCGCCCCAGCGCCTCAGCCCCCGCCGCAGGTTCATGAATATGCAAGTACCAGGAAGATATTTAAAGACGCCGGCGCCACGCTAGGTTCCTGCCCCGCGCCGCCGGCTGTACCGGTCGTTATTTGAGGTCCGGCCGCCTTCGTCCGAGTCCATCCCGGCGTGCAGAATAGTCGCCAGCATGTCTGACAAATTGCCCTACAAAGTCGGTGAGTTCAAGATGTGCAGCCTGCGGCGGCTCCTCTGCACCCGCCTTGGGCTTGTCTGGGGGTTTGGCTGTCAGCTAGACACGCAGCTTGATTGGGGTGGCGGCCGCTGGGCTGCCCCCGGGCGCCCAGGACCCCTAAAATCTCAGGCACGGCGCGTTGCTGGGCGCGCGGGGCCGGCTGGGGGCTGGAGTTCGTGAGCCGCGGCCACCCGGCGGTGGGAGGCGCGTACGGACTACGAGTCCCGGCGTGCCCCGCGCTGCTCGATGCCGCTGCGCGGGCTGCGAGACGCGGGCTGGTAGCGGGCTCAGCGCAGACCCTGCGGGCTGCGGAGGAGAGCGCACGTGCGCTCGGCCTGGGACAGCCAGTTACCTCTGGAACTTGCCCGAGGGTCCAGCCCTGCTTGCTGGGTGGTCTCGGTCAGGAGCCCACTTCCCTCTGGGCCTCTGCAGGGCAGCTGTGGGCACAGGCGTTCACAAGAGCATGTAAAGAGAGGCCTGGAAAGGGAACCCAAGGCTGGCACAGGGGAGCACGTTGTGGGGACTTTGGGCAGACTGCTCAACCTGTAGGGTCACCCACCTGGCCAACAGGGACAATCGTGCAGAAAAGCTCAAAGGAAATTTGGAGTGGTTAGAAAGCTGTTTTTAGCTGTCCCACGGATGCAAGGCCAAAAGTTCACGAGAACTTACTGTGAGATGGGTACTACTTTCTCGCCTTATTCTTTTAGCTCCTGAGACACAGAAGTCACTTGCCCACATTCTTCCTGATGGGAAGGGACGGAACAGGATTTGGACCCAGGGTGGACCTGAATGCACCTTTACACCATTATGTACAAGTGAACACACTTGGAACACACCTAATGAATTTTCAGTGAAAACTAGTTGAGACAGGCTAGGAGCTTTTAAAGTAACCAAGATGCTGTTAAACTGGAGAAAGGACACCGATGTTTATGTAGCGCTTGATCTGTATCTGGTAATTTGTTACTACTACTATTATTATTATTATTATTATTATTATTATTTTGCGGAACCAGGAATTGAACTCAGGCCCTTGCGCTTGCCACGAAACGCTTATTCCACTGAGCCATCTCCTTGGCCCCCATTATTACCAGATAATACAAATTATCTGGTAATTTGTATGTGTTTAATAGAATCTTTTTAGATGTTGGCCTCATTCCCTTGTTCAAATGAGGAAAACTTGCAGATTCTTGTTGAAGTAGTTCATCAAGCAGCTGCCTGAGTTGCCTATTGATCTTGTTGAGTGAATGAGAAACTAAAGCTCAGAGAGGATAAGTGAAGATGAAGGGCTGGAATGGGGCCTAGTCACACTGTGGAGAGGTGGATCAGAGTCTGGGTTGAATGAGTGGAAATAAGGATTCAGAATGGGGGACCTTTTCTATGTAGGGATGGAGGAAAGGAGCCTTCATCAAGGGCCATCTTCTGTAATCCCCAGGACACTCGGCAAAGTTAGGGGTGAGTATCCTTACTCCAAAGGTAAAGAAACATGAGGTTTAGAGAAGATCTAATTTGTTCTCAGCTTGTTCTTTTTTTTTTTAATTTTATTTATTTATGTGTGTGTGTGTGTGTGTGTGTGTGTGTGTGTAGCCAGCTCAGCCCACCAGGGGGTGGGGCTGGCTGGCATGTGGTGCTGGGGGATTGAACTGCGGTCCATGTCCTTTGCTAAGCTTGTTCTAAGTAGGTGCTTTAGACCACTGAGCCATCTCACCAGCTCCAGACCACTGAGCCATCTCACCAGCTCCTCTCAGCTTGTTCTTGATAGTTATTCCCAAGACTGCTGCAAGTTCTCAGCTGTACCTGAGTATCCATCAAAGGCCCAGAGCTTGCCTTGTCACCCCTCTCAAAACCATGGAAAACGTAGGAGTTTGCACAGCTGCCACAAGGGCATTGCAAAGGTTATTTTATTGGAGAAACAGATGGTAGTTGAGGAGATGGAGCTTTGAAGAGTAGCACAATATCCCTTGTATGAATTGCCACAATCATGGTGGTCACCCAATATGGCTGATGCCCTTAAAAGCCCACCTTTCTAGGAACACCTCCCCCTTCTCCACCTTAGCACAAGGTATGATTTACTGCCACCCTTCCCACTGCCTCAGGGAAGACCCCCAGTCAGCTCCCTCAGTATATCTAAACATCCCCTTCAAACCCCTCCCCTGGCAAGAGGCCATAAAAGCCTCAGCCTCCCTTTGTCTAATTCAGAGAGAAAATTCCTCATCCTACTCCATATTTTCTTCCATGTCCTCAAAGAAAATAAAGCCCCTTCCCTTTTTTCTTCTACATGTTTCTCTGCTGTGCCATGCACCTGAAAGCACCTATCACAGGGTAGCCCTGCCTGGCCAGTCCTTCCATTGTCTTTGATTCACTGTCATACCTGGGGCAAACCCTGCTCTAGGTCCTTTCCTCATTTTCTTGTTTTTGTTGGTTTTTTTTTTTTGGGGGGAGGGTCTCTGTAGTTGTGGTTGGCTTTGGACTCACTGTGTAGCTCAAGGTGACCTTGAATGTATTCTTCCTGCTTCAGCCTCCCAAGTGCTGGGATTCCAGGTGTGCACTACCATACCCAGCGTTCTTGTTGGTAAAGGCTGGAGGTGGACCTGGTTTCAGTTTGGTTTTTGTTACCCTTGCCCTGTGCCAGCTCTTCATGCATCTCCTTATTCAGTTGTAACAGATCTGTTGACCTGTTTTCTGTACTAGACCCTGCTGGGCTCTGGAAATACAAAGGTGACCCAAGATCAGGGTAGGACAGCAGTGTATACAGATAATGTATTTATTGTCTTCATTTCATGAGAGATCTGTTGCTTTCCTTCACAGCCACTGCCTGCTTCTGGTTTCCTTCCTCAGAGGTCTCTGTGGTCTTTTACTCCACAGATCCATGCAGCAGCCAATGAGGGCTTTCAAAAGAAAAGTCGGCTCCCTTAAAACTCTTGTAGGGTTGGGGAGATAGCTTGGTGGTCTAAGTGCCTGCCTGCCAAGCGCAAGGACGCAGGTTCCATCCCTGCTACTGCATGCTGTGTGGGCCCAGTTTTAGTGGCTGGCACTGTGCACCACAGATTCCTGGTCGTGGTGGCAGACATGGTGGCTATAATCCCAGCACTGGGGAGGCTGAGACAGGAGCATCACTATGAGTCGGAGCTATGTAGAGAGACCCAGTACCAAATAAATAAATAAGAGATTAAAAAAAAAAAAAAACATTTAAAAAGAAAGAAACTCTTGTAGGCCTCCCTACACTGGGAGTAAAATCCCGATTCATTTTGCTCCCTCCACTTGGCCCACTCTCTGTTCCTCTAGCAGGACTATCCCAAAATCTTTCCTGTTTCCAGGTTGTTTATGGTACTGGGGATTGAACCAGAGCCTTTGTATTGACCTTTCTTCCTCACTTTTTTTTTTTTTTTTGAGATAGAATCTCATTAGGTTGCTAAGTTTCCCAAGCTTTCTTCAAACTTTGAATCCTCCTGCCTCAGCCTTTCAGAGTGCTGTGTGTACACTACCATGTGTGCACCACTGTGCCCACTCTGTTTCTGAGTTTCTTGTGTATCTTCTGAGTGCTAGCTGCTGTGTCAGAATCAGTACTTGAGGAAGAGCCTTCTGGCTAAGGACTGCTTGGGTTAAAGCTCCAAGGGTGTGAAGAGAGTTACTGTAAGAGGTCTAGGAGCAGAGCTATGAAGGGGGAGAAAAAGGTGGAGGTGGTGGGGTGGGGCCCCAAGGCCAGGTAAGGCGTTAGAGGAAGTCATTAGAGGCTTTTGGTTGTTTACTTTAGTAGAACTGTGGAAGTGATAGAACTTACAGTTTTGTTCTTTTGGCAGAACCAGGGATTGAACTCAGTCCCCTGCGCTTGCCAGGCAAACGCTTATTCCATTGAGCCACCTCCCCGGTCCCAGAACTTACAGTTTTTATTTATTTATTTATTTATTTATTTATTTATTTATTTATGGGGGGGCCGGCTCAGCCCACCAGGGGGCAGGGCTGGCTGGCATGTGGTGCTGGGGGATTGAACCGCGGTCCCTGTGCTTTGCTAAACTTGTTCTAAGTAGGTGCTTTAGACCACTGAGCCATCTTACCAGCCCCAGAACTTACAGTTTTTTCTTTTTCTTTTTCTTTTCTTTTTTTTTTTTGTGGAACCAGGGATTGAACTCAGGCCCTTGTGCTTGCAGGGAAGCGCTTATTCCACTGAGCCATCTCCCTCGCCCCAGAACTTATAGTTTTGAAGCTTTCCTTTTGGCTACTGTGGGGAGCATTCCGTTGAGATGGTGCTTGGATTGCTTATATGTTTAGGTGTTGGCCGGGGACCAGCTAATGGAGGTGAAATGAAAATGAGAAGTCCAGAAATCTTAACAGTTTTTGGTCAGGGTAGCTGGTTGTTGGTTTCATTTCCTAAAGAGGAAGGCTGTGGTTGGGTGGCTCAGAGGTTGATTGGTTGCACATTTGAGTACAGGTGTTAGGTAGGCAGTTGGACTCCAGTGATGGGAACTTTTTAGAGCTTTCAGTAATATAAACAGCCCAGTGGCACATGTGCCATAGGTTCACCACCCCTGGATTAGATGAGTCTCAAGTTAAAGAGAAGTTTGGGCTAGCAGTAGATAGGTAAGAGCTATAACCACAGACAGAGTACTCAAAAACCAGAAGACTGGATGAACTGAGCTGGCAAGAGTTAGAGAAGAGGGAGGTTGTTAACCCTGAGGGTTCCCAGACCTAAATCTGTTAGATGAAGAGAAGCCGGGAAGGTATGAAGAAGAGCACAGAAGGGCAATGAGACGCCAAGTAAAAGCTGGTATGGTGACACATATGTGAAATCTCAACACTTAGAAGGTGTGATGCAGGACATTCATGAGTTTGAGGCTAGTGGGCTATCATACAGTGAGACTTTCTAAGGAATCCAATCTGTAGCCAGGCATGGTGGCACATGCCTGTAATCCTGCATTTGGGAGGTGGAGGCAGGAGGATTTCTTCGAGTTTGATGCCAGCTAATGGAGGTTAGCTGGGCTACATAGTTCACAGTCTGCCTCAACTATATATAGAGACTATTGTCAGAACAAAACTAAATAAAACTAACCCAAAACCAAACCAAATCAAAAAGTCAACTTTAAAGAAGGGTTTCAGGAAGGAGGGACTATCTAGTGTAGTTGGAAGAGTTGGCACTGCTGGGGAAAACACAAAATGGACATGTGAGCATCACAGGGTGTGTGTGTGTGTGTGTGTGTGTGTGTGTGTGTGTGTGTGTGTGTGTGTTAGGGGGCTGGCTGGTCTTTACCTTGAGAAGGGACGCTTCAGTGGAGTAGTAAGGTCCTGAGGGAGGTGAGATTTGGGATGGACAGTTCATTTGTTGTAACGGAAAAGAATACTGCCAGTCCATCCCCAAACTACAGATGAAACCAGTGGATTCCATGGAGGAAAAGTGGCATTGTTCTGAATTCTGAATGAATTGTAAAGTGAGGTTATTAGTCAGTGGAGAAAGGTATTGAAGGTTTGGGAAAAGTGGACAAAGAGTAAATTTACTAAGAGAAAGTTCTAGGACTGCTGGACCGTTAGATGTCCTGGGAGAGTTATGGTCTTCATAAATAAGACCACTGGTGTGGTTATCATTCTTTTCCTGTTGGGTTCAATGGCTTAGGTGCAGTGAAGGTTTTAAACAGGGTAGGAGTTTTGTCAAGTGTGTTCTCAGAGGGATAAGCATTGGAATTGTAAATTACGGAAGGAAGGAAGGAAGTTGAGACCATGAAGAGGGTGTGGGACCGTGGAATCAGTGAGTAGTGGATTGGAGGATCTAAGCTTGTCTAAAGATAAAACTCACAGCAGTACTCCCAGGCCCCATGTTAGACTTTTTAAATTTAAGTTTCCTGGAAAAACTGAGAAGCATACCAGATGACTTTTCTCATCAGCATGTTTGCAAATATTGACTTATGCATGACCTTGGGAATGGGCCAGGGGTGTTGTGTGTGGGATAATGAGGAGGAAATGTATTAAGATAGTGAGGGAGGGCCGGGGAGTTAGCTCAGTAGAATAAGCACTTGCCTGGCAAGCGCAAGGGCCTGAGTTCAATCCCTGGTTCCGAAAAAAATAAATAATAATAATTTTTTTTAGGGGCCGGGGAGATAGCTCAGTGGAATCAGTGCTTCCCCAGCAAGTGCAAGGGCCTGAGTTCAATCCCTGGTTCCGAAAAAAATAAATAATAATAAATTTTTTTTTAGGGACCGGGGAGATGGCTCAGTGGAATAAGCGCTTCCCCAGCAAGCGCAAGGGCCTGAGTTCAATCCCTGGTTCCAAAAAAAAAAAAAAAAAAATAGTGAGGGAGCATATAATAGTGTCCTTTCCTTCCCGAGAACTTGAACAACAGTGAGACATTTGAAGTGTCCCGTGAAGACCAGAGCAGGCTTTTTGTTAGTAGTAGCATCAGAGCCAGAGAATGTAGCTTAATGTGAATACCAAATCCTTCTTCAAACTGAATCCAAAAATTCAGCAGTTACCCACTGCTTACAGGCAAAGCAGCTAAGAATACTTAGTTTCTGCAGGTCCAGAAGAAGAGGGTGCTAAACTGAGTGTGCCCAGTTTATTCCTCTCAAATTTACTAACCAACCCTGACTGAGAGGATGAGGTGACGGATTACCAAGCCCAAGGGTTTGGGGCCCACCTGAGGATCCGGTCCTTACATGGTGACCATGCTTTATGGTTGATGGGAGGAGGGACTCACAGGACTCCCATCTTGTCTCTACAGCGGACATCAGCCTGGCTGCTTGGGGACGAAAGTCTCTGGACATTGCAGAGAATGAGATGCCAGGCCTAATGCGCATGCGGGAGATGTACTCTGCCTCCAAGCCACTGAAGGGTGCCCGCATTGCCGGCTGCCTGCATATGACTGTGGAGACCGCTGTCCTCATTGAGACGTTGGTTGCCCTGGGTGCTGAGGTGAGGCTTACAGCTGTGTGGCTCTGGGTGTGTCCTTTGCCCTCCCTGGGTTCAGCCTGGGAGGAACACTGTGTGTGGGTAGGGGTGGGGGGGTGGCAGGTGTGGGGCTGACCTCAGACCAGCAGGGGCTCTTTTTGTTCCTTGAATTTTTTTTTTTTTTTCCATATCTAGTGCTGCTATGCTATGTGGCAGATGCACTTCTATAGATTTTCTCTTACGTAGGAAGATAAGCTCAGTATACTCAGCCCATCCCTCTGAGAGCTCTCGTAGGAAAAACTCAACACCATATAGTCATCTAAGGACTCATTCTCTCTTTTCTTAAAGGTATTTGATAGAGGGGCTCCCTATGAGGCTTGGATGCGTAGTGATCCTCCTGTTTTCATCCTCCCCAGCACTGGGATTACAGGCATTTTGCCACCATGCCCAGTTTCGGTGGCTGGCTCACTATGCCCCAGGGGTGGGGTCAGAGCAGCATGTGGTGCCCTGGATCGAACCCTGGTCTCTGCGCTTGCCAAAGCAGGTGTTTAGTTTGCTGAGCTATTTCGCCAGCCCTTGGATTTGTTCTCATTAGTCTTTCTAGTTTATGTTATGTTTCTACCCTGGGCCAGTCATAGGTGCCAGGAGAATGGTGTTCTCTGATTGGTTTAGCATGGGTCATAATATGTCAGTGATTGACAACTCTCCAAGATCTCAAGGGGCCAGAGCAAGGTGGTTTCCCAAAGCAGGGCAGGGCAGCCAGAACCAGCAGAAATCTTTAGGGCTCAGCCTTTGAATCTCTTTGTTTTTAAGTGACAATTCTGTCACTTGGTGGTTTAATTTTGACTTTAAATACTGTCTGGTGGTGACTCCAAAATACATGTACTAGCCTGGACTTCTCCCAGAACTCTAATCTCAGAGATTTAGCTGCTGACATGTTCTTCCCACTCGGGGGTCAAAGTGAATACTTGCAAGGAAACTCATGATTTTCTGCCCCATCCTTTTCCTGAAGTCTCCCCCCGTCAGTAAATGAGGACTAGGAGAGTTTTTTTTCGTGTGTGTGTGTGGGGGGGGTACTGGGCGTCAAACTCAGGACCTTGCTCTTGCCAGCCAGGCGTTTATGTGCTGAGCCATCTCCCTAGCCCCTATGTCAGGACTCTTCTCTGATAGCTTCTTCACTTATCGCCTTCCTTCAGATCTTTCCCTTCCACACAGCACCAGAGTGCTGTGTGTGGTGGATTTTATCACTGCTGTGGCTCCTGTCTTCTCACCCAGTGTCCCTAACCTGTCACTGTGGGGACCCAGAGCTTCAGAGCTTTCCCCTCTTCCTGCCCAGTGACCTTGGTGCTTTGGAGCCGTCAGTGACCTTGTTTCGCTGGCTCTTGTAGGTGCGGTGGTCCAGCTGCAACATCTTCTCCACACAGGACCATGCGGCAGCTGCCATTGCCAAGGCTGGCATTCCAGGTAAATCCCACCCGCTGCTGGGGCGCTCAGAACACGTGGAGGAGCTCTGCTTTACCACCTGCTGCATCAGCAGTCTTCTTGATGGCAGGGGAGAGGATCCTAGGCTAGTGTATCATAGCAAAGAGCTGTTTTGTCTCAGCCTCTAAAATCCTACAGAAGCTGCTTATTGAGCCATCTGAAGCCAGAGGCCAGGAAGGGCAGGATCTTGTGGCAGGCACATGATATAGAAGAGGGGAAGTTCCTTAAAGGAAGGGTGTGAATTTTGTTTTCAGAAATGGGGAACAATAGGACAGAGGACTGTGAGAGGTCTATTGACTGAGGTATGGTAATCTGGGACCCTGGACAAAGACCAGGACCAAGGAGGAAGATTGTCCTCACAAACTGCTGAATAGGGCACATGTCTGTCTGGGCTTAGGGAAGAGAGTAGTTAGGTCTGAATGTGATTAAATAAGACACTCAATATTCCTTCTTATCAGTCACAGACAGAAGAATTTGAGTTGTGACTGAGCAGGGCTAAACAGGCACATCATCACTGGCTAGGCGCCATGACCCTCTTCCGGGAAAGGCTTTGTTTTTAAGATCATTGTGTTCTCCAACTGGGGAGGAGGCAGCTGTCCCTGAGTGGCATGTGTCCTTTGCTCAAAGGAGGATTCTGGCAGCCTTTCACTGGTGTTCCTTTCGTACCATATGATGGGAGGAGCATTGCCTGGAAGTCAGCAATGTTGCTTCTGCTGCCTGCTCTGGATTACTCTGCTAAGAGACAGGGCATCGTATCTCAGCCTCCTTCTAGGCATCTGTATGGTAATGATGGTGATGTCTGCCTCACAGCGTTTCTCTAAGGAAAGATGAGATGGAGCACTTGGGGTCATGTCTGGCACAGAGAAAGTGTTCCATATGTAGCAGCTGCTTCTAGTAATTTTTTGACCAAAAAATTTTTTTTTCCTATGGCCAGACATTGTCTGTGATTAGAGACTGTTAGGCCCACAAGACCCTCAGTGCAGAACCAACCTTGAATAGGAGGCCCCTCATTGGGTGGGAACCTTGGTCTGTGTGGTCCCAGTCCTTGGAGCCCAGGGAGAAGGAGATGAGAAAGCAATAATTACTTCTAGATCCTGTATCTGAGGTACTGTACTTGGCTTCTGTTTCATTTATTGAAGAGGAAATTGAGGTTCAGGGGAATGAAATGATTAGCTTAAGGTCCCACTTCTGGTAAGTGCCAGAACCAGGATTTGAACTTGGGTATGTCTGGCTCCTAGTAGTGCTCTACCTGCTGTTGAGTTCTCAGAGGCACTGGAAGTGGCTGACGATGGGAAGTAGGAGGGGATGGTATAGTGGTCCCTCACTTATTGCAGAGGTTACGTTCCAGACACCCCTGCAATAAATGAGAATCAGCGAAGTAGTGATGTTATATTTATATTAGTATTTATATATATTTTAAGTATTTACAAACCCTTCCCATACTCCGACAAACTTTCCCACACTTACAAAAACACTTTCATTTTTTTTTTTTTTTTTTTTGTGGCCAGCTCAGCTCACCCTGTGGGCAGGGCTGGTGCGACATGTGGTGCCAGAGATTGAACTGCAGTCCCTGTACTGGCTAAGCTTGCCTAAGCAGGCACTTTAGACCACTGCACTATCTCGCTGGCCCTAGCACTTCTAAAGTTCTTAACCATTTTCTAAACTTGTAAACTTGTAAACCTACTTTTTTTTTTTTTTTTTTCTTTTTTTGTTGTACCAGGGATTGAACTTAGGACCTTGAGCTTGCCAAGCAGGTGCTTATGCCGCTGAGCTATCTCTGAACCTATGTAATTTTAACAATGTACATATACTATACAGTACTGCAAATCCCATGATATGGTGAAAAATCCACAATAAATAATTTAGATTAATATTTTTTGAAAACCTGTGAAACAGTGAGTCCATGAAAGTCAAACCATGAAATAGCGAGGGATTACTATACTGGTTCCACATGGGTGGGGATGGTGAGGTCCTGTTGTGCTTCTTACCCTTCAGTGTATGCCTGGAAGGGTGAAACAGATGAGGAGTACCTGTGGTGCATCGAGCAGACTCTCTACTTCAAGGATGGGCCCCTCAACATGATCTTGGATGATGGCGGTGACCTTACCAATCTTATTCACACTAAGTACCCACAACTTTTGTCTGGTAAGCAGTGTAGGGTAGGTTGGCTGAATGTTTGTGGTCTGAACGGGGCCTGTTCCTTTGCACAAAGAGAGTAGGCCTGGAAGAACTCCCGGATTCTGTGGAAGATGGAAGGACATCGGGCTCTTGGAGGCTTGACCTTCTGACTTAGGATGTGGGTTAGCTCGCTTGGCTTGGCTTGGCTTGGCCTGGCTGTGTGGGGGTGAATGAGTTGATACCCCAAGGTCCAGAGTAAGACCAGGGCTGAGAACCGCTGGAGCACCCAGATAACACTGCTCTAACACTGGGAACCAGTTAGCGTTATTAAAAGGAGGGCAGGAAGGAGAGTATTGGGCAGTGGGGTACAGGAAAGGATTGATTATTCAGAAAACAGAAATGAAGCCAACAGAATTACAGTAAATGAAGGGAACCTTTCTTAGGAAACGTTACAGGATGTGGATGGAGCTTTGGTTGTGACCTGAACATGACAAGAGAAAATAATTTGACTTCAAAGGGGAATAGTTGGAGGGTTTTGGAAAGAATTCTCTGGGAATATCCATGCTAAAAGTAGCTGATGGCTGCTTTATGACATGAAAGCCAGGTAAGAAATGACAGTGACAGGGACTGAGACAGGGGCAGTGGGAGTGGAGAGGTTGGGAGCTTGGGGGTGGTAGAGTCACTAGGACTGAAGGATTGTGTCGACCTGGTGTCAGTCATAGAAATGGGAGCCCAGAAGAAGAAAGACACTGGGCCAAGTCAGGGATTTGGGTGGGTTCCACTGTGGTCTCTGATGCTGTTCCATTCTTGTTCAGGCATCCGAGGCATTTCTGAGGAGACCACCACTGGGGTGCACAACCTGTACAAGATGATGGCCAAAGGGATCCTGAAGGTGCCTGCCATCAATGTCAATGACTCTGTCACCAAGAGCAAGTTTGACAACCTCTATGGCTGCCGAGAATCCCTCATAGATGGCATCAAACGGGCCACAGATGTGATGATTGCAGGCAAGGTCGCGGTTGTAGCAGGTTATGGTGATGTGGGGAAGGGCTGTGCCCAGGCCCTGCGAGGTTTCGGAGCCCGTGTCATCATCACTGAGATCGACCCCATCAATGCACTGCAGGCTGCAATGGAAGGTATGATAAGGCGAGGGCTGATTCTTGGCCATTGGGGCCAGAGGAGCGGCCAGGCTACCCTGGATAACCCATGGCCACTATCTCTATAGGCTATGAGGTCACTACTATGGATGAAGCCTGTCAGGAGGGCAACATCTTTGTCACCACCACAGGCTGTGTGGACATTATTCTGGGTCGGTAGGTGCCATGTGGGGATCCTGGGGAGCATGGGGCTGGGGCAGACTTGGGACTGCTCTTTGTTGCTGATGGTCTACCATGGGCTTGGGCCTTTCCACAGGCACTTCGAGCAGATGAAGGATGATGCTATTGTTTGTAACATTGGACACTTTGATGTGGAGATTGACGTGAAGTGGCTCAATGAGAATGCTGTGGACAAGGTGAACATCAAACCCCAGGTGAGAATCCCTAACCCTGCCAGCAGGCTGGGCAGTAGGCGGCCAAGGAGAGGCCTTCTTGGGGGCTACCTACCCAGGAGCTTAGGTTAAGATGTTGCAACCCAGATGGCAGGGTGTGGGAAGAGAACCTGGTCCCAGAGCTAGGCTTAGGTGTCAGGCTTGATCCTGCGGGCACCTGGAGTCCCTGAGGGTGGGAGGCAACTGAGCCACACACGGTGAGGTTGCTGTTTCAGAAAGAGTCTTCTTGCTACAATGTGGAAAATGGAAGCAGTGGCACAGGGTGGGGGAATGCAGGGCTCCTCTGGAGCCCAGCTGGATGCTGGTAGCCTCCATCTACCTGGAGTGCCAGGGTTTATCCTTGCAAGGTTGGGGAGGAGCTGGGCTTTTTCTAGAACAGCTGAAGAACGAGCTGGGGCAAGGACAGGTTTGCAGAGGGCATTGAAAGGTGAGTTTCTTTGGGGTATACGAAATTTTATTTGGGCTTATTTTCTTCTCTAGAAGACATTTTTGCTTTATATATTTAGAGGCTACAAATTATACAGTTGACTTTGTTGTTGTTCTGCTGGTGCTGGAACCTAGGGTCTTGCATGTGTTAAGCATGTCCTCCATCCCTGACCTACACTTCCAGACCCTATGTAGACTCTCAGCTGAGCATTCCTTCCTTGCAGTTGATCCTCAAATACATGTACAGAGCTATTTACCACATTTTTAAAAGTGAAAACAGCCCACTTACTGTAGGACACTTTGAATTTGTGCCTTGCTGTCTTTGAGGTGTTGTACAGATGTAGACAGAATTTACCAAAGCTCTGCTGTCATCCAGTCAGAGCCACATGACAGGCCCACCCAGGAGCCCAGAGCCCCCATAGGCAGGTGAGTCTCTGTGGGCACACACCACATCGTCACAGGCCCCACCCTTTCCTAGGCCTTCTGCCTCCCTGTGGGAGTTCTCTTTGGGTAGGTCTTGTACTACCCTAAGAGTACCAGTTCCTACCTAGGCAGAGGAGCCTCCATCTCTTTGCTGAGAAGTCCTGGCACAGTACATGGCCAGAAGGGCATACCTCCTAGGCAGCCATGCCCCTGGTTCCTTCTGCAAAGGTGTCACAGAGGGATGGACACATTTCCACCCAGCTGAGCCCCAAAGCTTGGTTCTCTCCTCGCCCTCAGAATCATCAGCCTTCTTCTTCCCAACTTCACTGATTTCCTGTCTTCTCTGGAACCTGTCTGCTCTGAGGTCATCCTGGACTGCTTCCTGAATACTTTATCACAGCTCCTCTTGTCATTGCTTAGGTAGCTCCTTTTGTTTAGAACAGGTCAAAAGTCCTTTTCTTTGCCCATCCTCCAAGACTTAGCTCAGAGATCCCCCGTCAACTCCTATCAGGCCAGCTGCTCAGGCAGAGGGCAGTGCTGTGTGCTTTGTGTAGCCCTCCTGTGCCGCCTCATTGCAGTGGGAAGCTCTGCCTTCCTCTGCGGTGGTACCGTGAGGTCAGAGTCCAAGCTGATGTGATCTTGCAGGAACTTGGCTTGAATGGGTGTTAGCGAATGCTCATGCGGTGAAGGAACGCTTGATGGGCGCCAGAGAACTTTCCTTGGACTTGTGCTAGGCCTCTTGGAGTAGTCTGCAGAGATAGACTGTTAGAGGAATATTTGAGAGTCACTGTGAGGAAGGCAGGATGAAAGGAGCAGAGTAGAGAACAGATTTGCATGGTCAGATGATTGGGAGAGTTAGGAGTGAGGGACATCAGGGGCTGAGACCTCAGAGCAGACAGGGTCCAGGTTTCTGTGTTCACTCACTCAACCTTGGCAGAATCAGTGGTCTTCTTAAACAAGATTCTCTTGTAGTGTGACCATGCCCTCCTTTTTTTCTTTTCTTTTCTTTTTTTTTTTTTTTTGAGACAAGGTCTTGCTATGTAGTTCCGGCTTGCCTTGAACTCACTATGTAGCCCAGGCTGGCGTAAAACTTACAATGATCCTCCTGCCCTGCCTCAGTCTTGTGAGTGCTGGGATTACAGGTGTGTGCTATGCCACCACGCCCAGCATGCATTCCTGTTTTTAAAAAAAAAAAATTAATAGACACAGGAAGAGTTTATTAGGCAAAAATTTTAGGATGCACTCAAGAGCAATAGAAATGATAAACTGATGCTACTTACTGAGTACCTTGTATGTGCCATATACTTTATGGGTGTCAGCTCATTGAATTCTGAGCGGATCTATGAGGTTATCGGTTATTGTAATTATTGTTGTTGTTACAGTTATTACTATCATTATTATCGTTGATGGTACTGGGGATTGAACCCAGGCTTTTTGCACTGAGATATCTCTCCAGCCCTTTTTATATTTTTAACTTGAATTGCTGAGTTGCACAGACTTGGCTTAAACTTGTGATCCTCTTGCCTCAGCCTGCCAGAGTATTGGGATTACTGGCGTGCACCCCCATGCCCAGCTGGCTAGTTAGTTGGATGTGCCAGCCCATTTGAAGGTTGTTGGTGCTGTGGCTTCTGGGCCTCGCCTGGGCAAGGTGGGAGGCAGAGGTGGAGCTTGAGCCAGTGCCTCCATCTTCACTGTTGAGCTGTGCCTTGCAGGTGGACCGTTACCGGCTGAAGAATGGGCGCCGCATCATCCTGCTGGCTGAAGGCCGGCTAGTGAACCTGGGTTGTGCCATGGGTCATCCCAGCTTTGTGATGAGCAACTCCTTCACCAACCAGGTGCTGGCACAGATTGAGCTGTGGACCCACCCAGACAAATACCCCGTTGGGGTTCACTTCTTGCCCAAGAAGGTAGGTCCTTGCTTTCCCCCTCAAGTGCCCAATCCTGAGCTACCCACTACGGGCTTTCTAGGATTTACGAAGTGCTGTCTGCCCTCTTAGAGGTCCTAACAGACTTTTTTATGGTATGGAATCACTCTCCCCACTTGATAGAGGATGAAACTGAGGCCACACTGGGATGTGATTCCTGGTGCATATCTAGAGTGATGGAAAGAACGTGGGCTTTGCAGGGGGCCACACCTGGTTTTGATCTCAACCTCACCTCATAAGGCTCTAAGTGGGACAAGTTACTTAATTTCTCTGTGTGTCCATTCTCTCATCTGTAAAATGGAAGTATTAAAGACTTCCCTTAGGGGTCGTGAGCATTTCCTTAGTTTGGGGTCACATGTGTCTGCTAGGATGCAAGGGATGTTTGTCCCTCACTTGTCATCATCTAAGAGCTCAGTGTTTTTTTTTTTTTTTTTTTTTTTTTTAGCAGAATATATTTATTGAGAGAAAGCTCCTGTCTGAGAGAGGGATGGGGCGGGGGGCCCAAGCGGGTAGTTCCCCCCCAGCTCAGTGTTTTTGGACCAGGGATTCTGAACTTTGAAGAAGAGCCACATGCCAAGAAATGGCATAAAGTAATTTCTGAACGTAGGCAATTCAAAGTTTTTAAAAATAAATGGGTGGATCAACTCAGATGTGGCTGTGGGTGCAATATGGACTGCAGGTCTGTGGCCTTCACATGAGCCAATGCAGGACTAAGCAGGACACCTGACCCCCACGCTGTGGGCATGGCGAGGCCAGCACTCACCCACACGCACTATGCAGACTTGGGTTTTAGTTTTACCTCATTTTGCCAGTACTGCAGATGAACTTCCCTGTGATACATATCTGTTGGGTACTTATTTCCCTACCAAGAGTATCTTTTGCTTTTGCCTTTGGGTGCTGTAGAATTTATGGGGTCTCCATAACAAACCACCACCCTGGGAAGGGCTGAGTCTGCCATTGAGGAATTAGCAAGCCGTGTGGCTGTATACCTGGGGCTGGAGTTTCTACACCCCAGGACCAGCTGACTCCTTCTGTTTCCCTGGGCCATTGTTTTGCTGGACCGTATGTTTTACCCAGAAGGACCTCAAGAATTATCTTTGTCCGTGCAGCCTATCAGATTCCCAGGATTGTTTGTTTATTTATATATTTGTGCCAGGGATCGGACTCAGGACCTTGCGCTTGCATATGCTGCTGAGCTATCTCCCTGGCCCTAAAAACATTTTTTCACTTGACCCTTTGTCTGATCCCATTTGGGAGAAATATGATTGATTTTGGTGAGAATTGTTTAGGTTTTTGAAAATGAGCTCAAGTTTGGAAGTAAAAAAGGCAAAGATTCACCTCTTCACTTGCTGGGACCCATCCTTACTTTCTTCCTCCGTGTCTGCTAAGACTTGGCTTAAGAGTAGAACTCAGCCCCCTGTGGTCCAGGTTGTTCACTGGGGTGCTGGCAGCAGGAACAGCATCCTAAGCTAGGCCAGGCCAAGCCAAGGAACACCGTTCATTTTGTACCCTGGGAGGTGGAGGCCTTTGTTCCACTGCTGGGATCCACATAGATTTCAGACTAGGCTGGTTTTGCGTGTCTTACCTGAATCCATTATCACTTTCTCTAGGCTCCAGTTCTGGTTGGTGTGAGGGTAAACCAGGCCCTGCTTACATGCTTTTGGAGTTCAAGTGGACACGAGACTAGTTGGGGATGTGAAACCTCTGCAGGCCGGGCCCTGGTCAGAAGCTGTCCTGCCATCATGGATGGCACCTGGGGCTGAGCACTAGTAGCTCAGAACGTGAGAGCAGTATTTGGCATTGACCTTAAGTGCAGCCTCCTAAACCTTCAGGATCTTTTCCTGTATTTCAGCACTGGTCAGTTTGCTTTATGTAACCTCAACCTCTGACCTTGGCTTCTGCATGGTTGTTTCAAAGCTCCCTGGGGCCATAACTCAGATTTTTCTTTCTTTCTTTTTGAGGTAAGATCTCACTGTGTAGTCCAGGCTGACCCTGAACTCACTGTGTAGCCCAGGCTGGCCTCAAATTTAGGGCAATTCTCCTGCCTCAGCCTTCCAAGTGCTCGGATTACAGGTGTGCATCACCGTGCCTGGCTAGCTCAGATTACTGAGATGTCTTTTGGAATATTAGAGCCAAGTAGACCTTGGTTCAAATCCTGGCTTTGTCATATACTAGGTGTATGACCTCAGGCAAATCATTCCACCTTTCTGAGCCTCGATTTCTTTATTTGTACAAGGAGTTCTGCAGTTTTTACCCATTAGAGTCCTTTTGGTAGCTATTGGGGGAATTTTGTTCAAATCAGGATCTGTATAACAGTTTATTAACACCACTGTATAACAGCTTATTTTTTTATTTTTTTGGAACCAGAGATCAAACTCCAGACTTTGTACTAGCCAGGCAGGTGCTTATGCTGCTGAACTATCTCCCCTACCTTTGTATAACAGTTTAAATTCAAAACTTAATGACTTAAAAGAATATTTAGCAGGTGCAGTACCATATACCAGTTGTGTCAATTACTCAAGAGGCTAAGGCAGAAGGTCTGTTGGACTCAGGAGTTTGAGGCCAGACTGGGCTACTTAACAAGTACCCATCTCTATATAATGAAATGTGGTAGCCCATACCTATAATCCTGGCCACTTGGGAGGCTGAAGCAGGAGGATGGCAAGATTGACTGCATATCTGTCTTGATTCCTCATCCACAGGCTTCTCAGTAGGGCTTCTTAGGTGTCATCAGAAGTGGCAGCTTGCTTTCCTAATATGGTGACCCTGGGCAGAGGAAGGAGGAAGCCACATTGCCTTTTATGACCTTGTCTCTAGTCATATATAGTTGCTTCTGTTTCATTCTTTTTATTAGAACTGAGTTACTCAGGGTCAAGGATTAGGTTTTACCTCTTGAAGGAGGACATATCAAAGAATTGTGGGTTTGTTTCATGGCCCTCACATACTTTAGCCAAAGTTTAATCAAAAAAGGAACTCTATTTTTTTTTTTAATTTATTTTGTGTGTGTGTGTGTGTGTGTGTGTGTGTGTGTGTGTGTGTGTGTGTGTGGCCAGCTCAGCCCACCAGGGGGTGCAGCTGGCTGGCATGTGGTGCTGGGGGATCGAACCGCGGTCCCTGTGCTTTATCAAGCTTGTTCCAAGTAGGTGCTTTAGACCACTAAGCCATCTCTCCAGCCCCAAAAAAGGAACTCTATTGACCATGTGGTGGGGAAGCCTAAGATTCAGAAACTGGATCCAGGGTTTAATGTCATCATAGTGTTTTTTTTTTTTTTTTTTTCTTTTGCATGGAGGGATACTGGGGAACCCAGGCCCTCTGTATACTACGCATCTGCCCTACCTCTATGCAGCACCCCTAGGCTATGGCTCTCTCTTTCTATGTCTCTTGGCTCCTTTTTTTTTTTTTTTTTTTTTTTCCTGTATTTCACTTGTCAATGATGAGCCGAGGTAGCTACCTTTCCCTATTTGGGAATCCTCGTGGTATTGGAACATTCCTGTCTCTGCCTCATGGAAAATATGTCCTAGACCATAGATAAATGCCAAAGAAGCATTTTAGTTAGCCACCCATGTTGGTGGAGGCTGAGGAGAGAGACATAATTGGTGGTCTCATTAGGGCAACTGGGAGGGTGGATGTGGCATGGTTCCCTCTTGACAGGAAATGGCATCCTGAAGAATATACCTGTACCGACTGAGGCTAGGTGTCAGGGTTGAATGCAGTGCAACATGGGTAACACACATGGCCAATTCCCCAAGAGAACACTCTGCCGTTTGGTTGTGGGATGCTGGTTGAGGACCCAAGGTCATGGCGTTCATTCCACGTTTTCCTTTTGATTCTCCCCACCCCAGCTGGATGAAGCAGTGGCTGAGGCCCACCTGGGCAAGCTAAATGTGAAGCTGACCAAGTTGACTGAGAAGCAGGCGAAGTATCTGGGCCTGTCCCACGATGGCCCCTTCAAGCCTGATCACTACCGCTATTGAGAACCAGAGCTGCCCTCACCTTCCAGCGGTTGTCCTTGTCCAGGCCCACTTCTTTCCAAGAGCAAATGGCACCAACTCTGCAATTGTTTTCCCAGTGTCCTCCATGGGCCCCCTGGGACTGGTCATCATTCATACTGTTCCAGGTGTGGCAGGGGGAACGGAGAGGTCCCAAGCAAGATGGAGGTACAAAAGAGACATCTTTGGGGAACCAGGAGCTCCGAGGGCTTGGAAGTGCTCAGTCAAGTCAGTCCTCCTTAGGCTGGAAGTTGGTAGTGGCGGTCACAAAGGCTGTGCACATTATCAGCCAGGCCCACATCTGGCCTGTGGACTTGGACCTGTGTGCTTGGTTTACAGGTTTACTAATTTCTGAGTCCATGGAGTGGAATCAAAGGTCAAAGAAACTGAGAGTTTAAATGTTTCTGAGAGCTCGAGTTACTTAGTGCTGGGGCTTCTTGTAAATCTCAAAATAGTAATGTTGGTTCTTTTATTCTCTGTTTCACAGGGATTAAAATAGACCATTAAGGGATAGTCAAGAAGGGAGAGAGGTGATAGCCAGAGGTTGACAGGGGCCACAGTAACATAAAAACAGGCATAGATTTGCCATTACATTGTAAAAGGATGGTTTCTACACCACAACCCTGGGTCAAAAAAACTAATTTGGTTTATAATGTACATATGATGTTTAAACTTACTACAAGCAAGCAGGAAGGTGGATAAATAAAAATTTTGGTGCCTGAAAGAATTCTGAGCCTTTATTTGTACACATTCTGCTGCCAACAGTGTTTGATGGCATGAGCTGGGGGCTGTAGTTGTGTGCTGATGACGCATCGAGGAGCAAGGGGTCATTGCAGTGTGGCGTGGTCAGCGCAGGCAGCTCTGTAGGCTTGGAGGGGTGGGTCAAAAGCTAAAACCCTTAGCTTTTCAGGGCGTGTCTGTACAAATAACCTGTTTCTAACTCAATTTAAGGTTGTCTTTTAATTGGTGTATAAATTAATCCTTTTGTAATTATAATCTCTATACTTTCCTCTTATTTTTGAGATCTGTTAAATTTTGTGTTCTCATTCCTGCTTTTTTGGGGACTGATCCAGCGTATCTTGGGATTACTGAGCACTTCCTGGGTGTTAGGTGCTCTGCAGTTAATTTACTTTTTCCTCACAATACTCTTAGTGGTACTGTTGGCTAGTTTTACAGATGAGAGTGGCTTTCCTAAACTCACACAAGCGTCTTCTGATGTGCATCATAGGAACATGGGTGGCAAGTTGGACTCCTGTTTGCCTAGCTGATCATGTGGTGAAGGTGTCTCATCTTCAAAAGCAAGAGCTTCCTGGGCAGACTGAACTGGAGGCTGACGAAAGGGCCATCCACTGCAGAAGAAGATCTGATGGAGACATGGAGATGTTTGAGAGCTGATTCCAGCTGGCTGGGATCTTGAGAGAAGGACATTAGCAGCTTTGCCATCTCCTGGTACTTTTCTGCCTAACTAGTTCAGTGCTAGCACCAGTGGGAGAAAGGCATCAGAGAAGAGGTGGTAGTTGAATAGATTTTAAAAGAACTGAAGATCTTTAATTGGAAAAATGGAAGGTAAACAGCATACAACCAGCACATCCTTGCAAACATGAGAATTATCAGGAAGAGTTCTTTGGCTGCAATCTTCAAGTAGCCCTGAGAAGGTTGGAGAGGTGGCCCAGAGGACAGACAGGAGAGTCTCGGTAAATATCAGAGAGGCCCTTGGTTTTAATCCTCCCATAGCGCAGAACCCTGGAATGTCCCCTCTTATGGAACATTCCATAGTTGTGATGTGTGGGTAGTGACACATAGGGTACTCAGATTGATCTGAATGTAGGGTCATACTCATGAGACAGGAAGTGTTAAGTGAAGTCTGTTTTATGTAAGGTATGAGTTTTTGGCAAGGTAGTAGTACCAGAAGCAGGAGACTGGAGAAATTAGACCGAACAGTGTCACAAATATGTGGAAAAGCACCCCTCTTTCCCCCATTTGAACCCTGAGTCTCATGCGTACTACACAAGAGCTTTACCACCAAACTACATCCTCAGCTGAAGGTAAGGCTTTCATGGGAGTTCCACTGGAGCAGGATTAACATTGCTAATTAAAAGAGAAACCAGGCTGCCCCCTGAACAGAGGAAGGGACAAACATAATGAGTTTGTTGTGATATAAAGGGTTGTAAGTGGTATTCTTTATAAGGAGCTTCTTGTGAAAGATACTGGTCAGGAGTCATTTATTTTTTTTGGAGACAGGGTACCAACACCCTGACTTGTGCATCTGGTCCTGTGGTCCATTTAGTCCTTATGTGAAGAGCAGAAAGACAGGAAGAAATCTGCCCTTTTCATGGGCTTGGGAGGTTATAGATTAGAGGTGAAGGATTCAGGAGCTAATTTGCCCTTTGTCCTGTGATCCCTGTCTCTATTAGGGCTCCCTTTTGATACTTTATTTTATTCTTTTTGTGGAACTGGGAATTGAACTCAGGCCCTTGCGCTTGCCAGGGAATAATACTTTATTATTCCTTCTCTGAAGTTGAAGCATTTAGAGCTGCAAAGTAAGGGAATGTAAGGTACCAGAGGGTAAGGTTGATCATTCCTCAGTCCTCAGCTTTCTCAACTAAGTTCACGTATGTGGCACTCCCTTGCTCATATCTTTGGACAGTAACTAATGTTTGAGTGCAGATCATATGAGTGACACAGGAAAGGCCTTGTTTGCTGTCTTTTTATTTCTTGATCCCCAGCACCGCATGCTGCGTCAGCCCTGTCTCTGGGTGGGCTGAGCCAGTCACTGAAAACAGGCACAGTGGTGTACACCTGTAATCCCAGTGCTGGGGAGGCTGAAAGCAGGAGGATCACTATGAGTCTGAGCTGCATAGTGAGACCCTATACCAAATACATTAAAAAAAAAAATACCATGTCTTTTAGGGCTGGGGAGATAGCTCAGTGGCACATATGCCTGCCTGGCAAGCACAAGATCCTGAATTTGATCCCTGGTGCCACAAAAAGAAAAAAAAATAAAAAGTTTGATGGGTAGGAACTTACCTTAAGGATGTGATGTCAAGCAAAATCCTTGAGTCATGCCCAGTGGCCCCTGGTCAGAGAGGCACAAGAAGCTGAAAGCTGCTCATTTGAACTCATTAAAGTGTCCCCTTAAACAGTTCTCACAACTCCTCACCCTGAGTGCATAGTTGAAGTTAAGTTGCATGGAAGTATGACTGCTGAGAGTCACTTACACTTTGGTAGTTCAGCTATTAGTGGCAAATGCCTGGAACCTACTTCTCAGCTGATCACGTCAGTGATCACAGTAGAGAAGATTATACAGTAAGCACTGCTGTTTCTCACATTCCTACTGTGTGCCAAGCATTGTGCTTAGTAAGCATTTTTAAGGAATGATCTTACTCATTCCTTGTGAGATTTTTTTTTTTTTTTTTTTTTGTACTGGGAATTGAACTCAGGACCTTGTGCTTACCAAGCAGGCGCTTGTGCCACTGAGCTGTATCCCCGGCCCTCATGAAATCTTTGTAGAGACTTGAGTTCCTGGTTGTGTATTAGGGAACTGGGGTGCCATGGGAATGAGCTGGCCTTAGCACTAGTTTGGGCCGAGACTAAAATCGAAGTCTGTTCCACACTGAGGCCAGGTTTAAGTGGATGACTGACTTCAGATTCCTCAGCACTTGGGCCAGTAACTCTGGAGTTGGGCCCAGGTGCTCTAAAGACCAAGTTGCCAGAAGAGAGGGCTATTCAGCCTCACCTCAGTTTTGCCACCGCAGTGACTTTTGGAATGAGGACTTGGTGGAAGGCGGGGGAAGCGCCTGCTCACCTGAGGCGCAGGTTTCATTGCACAGCAGCTGTGCCACGCCCTCCAAAGGTTCCCGCCCATGTCTGCACTTCCTTTTTGTCAAGTCCATCTCCACCCAGACACAGGAAATGCTTTTCCAGATGTTTCCTTCTTTGAGATCCTTCCCTCTGGTGGGAGTTCTGGTTTCTGTTACCCCTAGCCTTGCCTTCCTCTTTGGAAACGTGCTGCCAATTCTCAACATTTTGCTCTTTTTATTTCAAAGCCCCTCCCTTCACATCTGGTCTCGGACATTTCTCTGATCTCAGGACTGCCTGATGTGTCCCACATGTGACACTGAGCAGGTGCTCACATTGCAGGATGTGTCTCCTGCTCCCTCACCCCTAACCCTGACATCGAAGCTTTACAGGGAGATGGAAAGTTGAGAGTCCCTCCTTATCTGGCCGGCCTGGCCTTTTCTTTTTTTTTCCTCCTCCCCCAGGAAAGGAGAAGGGAAGACAAAGCTTGAGGATTTGTGGAGCAGTCATCTGGGGTTTGGAAGGAGGAGATTGGGGTCTTCTGTTGAGTCATGTTACTTGGGACAGGGACAGAAATATAAGCTTAAAGGGTTCTTATAATGTGTGTAGAGAGTTCTATGCTGAGTTTTAAAGGCTGTTGGGCACCGGGTGAGTGGAAGGAGCTGTTCTGGGGACAAGGAATTTAGAATACTTAGAAAATTTTTGGAGAAATTATAGAATCCCAGAACTAGGAAAGACTTTACAGTAAAAATATGTATTGAGCAAAAGTTAGAATTTGAATATAAAGAGATGGAGGCCCAGAAAAACTTAACTGATTTATTCAAAGTCTGGGCTGCTGTCTGCATCCATATTGGGGCTCTTTTCTGGATATCAAGCTCCATGACACCCTCCATGTGTCAGGTTGTGGTGGAAGGGCCCTAAGCACTGAGATCTTTCAGATCCTGTCTGGGACAGAATTAATGAGCTTAGAGGACTAAAACCGAAAAACGGGTGTAGGGACCTGTTTCTGCCAGTGAAAGCATCAGAAAGCAGCAGAGTGGTCTGTTCTGCTTAGGAGGCCTGAGGTTCCAGAAAAGCCCAGATTCTGATCCCTGAGACTCCCTGAAGATTACTCTAGAAAACAAAGCTAGAGAACCTGTTTGGGATGGTTGAGGGACACTTGCTCATGTGACCCAGGCATTGATCAATTTTCCAAATTCATACAAAGACAGGCATGTGTGTCAAATCGTTCCAGACTTTAAGACTTTTGCTAGAAATCTGGTATGTGCAAGAGTGGTTCCAGGAGCTTACTGTGGGCTAGTGGACGTGTGTTTGGACTCCAGTAGTTGTGAGGTTGCTGTTGCTAGAGGGGTCTACACAGCCAGTTAAGAATTCTAAAGGAAAGTTCTGGAAGGTATGGACATCTTCAGGATTCAAATAAATGAAGCTATCTGCTGGGTCTTCAGACAACAAGATGGCACAAGCATCATCACCACACCACCAAGAAGTGGCACCTCCCAGACTCTTCAACTCTCATAGCCAGCGGGGAGAGTCGGTAACTAGTGATCGTTTCAATGCAAGCTATCATTAAAAAGCTATCTGAAGTGAATGTAAACATTTGAAAGTTTTCAAAAATTTTACTAATAAAATACATTCCTTCTCTACTTTTTTCTCTAAACATGCACTGCTATACCCTTGGCCCATGGAAGAAGAGAGTAACAAGTCTACTTGAGATTAATCTGAAATTTATAGCAGATGGTTTGGCTAATGCAGTTCAAATCACATTCTTTTCTTCACTTATCCTTTTCTCTTTATACATAGGAATTGGCTTTTGTAGTTAAATCTCTGAAGTTGCTGTTGAAAGACAGCAGTAATTTCCTGATAGTGGGTAGTGGTATTAGATCTGTAGTTGCTCAAACATGTGGAAGAACTTAGATTAAGGACCCAACAATTGCCAATTAAGTTGACCTATGGTCCATAATTCACAGAAGCAGTGAAATCATAAGCTTCAATTTCTACTTTAAACAATGTAATAAAACATGCGTGTCTAAATGTGCCATGCACCAAATTTTAACACATTGGAAACCACCTGGGCCAAATTTTGCAATGCACCTCTTGCTGGTTCAGTTTAATAGAAGGCAGTTCTGAGGTCACAGAATTAGCTGTTAAAACCCTTTTACAACTTTTCTGTGTGATTTGAGTGTTCTTCAATACTGTGCAAACAAAAGACAAAATAGACTGGCTGCAGGAGCTGATATAGGAGAACAACTTAATATTTAATTTCTGGTTTCAATGTTTTGTGTGCATAGTTATAACATACTAATTATAATGCTTTGATGCATGTTATATAATGAGGCTGTAAGATTTCATCTGGGGATTGATGTAGCTCAGTGGCAGAGCATTTGCCTAGCATGTACTAGGCCCTAGGTTCAATCCTCAGCATGCGCGCACGTGCACGTGCACACACACACACACACACACACACACACGGGGAGAGGGAGAGAGAATGAAAATAAGAATATGAATAATTGTGTTGGAGATGGAGATGGGGTCCCCAAATCATCGTAGCAGTAAATCTATAACTCTGAACCACAAAAGTGAGTTTCAACTTTAGTTATCAGATAGTAGCTGGGCAGAATTTTGTGGAGGCCTAGAACCATGCTCTCAAAGTTCTAAGGCTCAGGAATTCTGAAAAGGTGGAGGAATCTCAAAATCTCAAACTGAAGGAGAACCTGGACTATACCCAACCAGGGATCTGGTCAACAGAAGTAATAACAGAGTTTGAGGCATGAGACCACATATGCTAAGAATGGTTCTAGTTCTAACCAGTTCTAACCAGGGCCAATGATGACAGATCACTGAACCATGAGCTCTGTAGGGAGAACATCTATATTGGATTTCTTCACAGTATTTACTGGCTCACAGTAGATTCTTAGTACATATATGTTGAATGAATGAATGGATTAGTCTTCCATGTGGTTGCCTACACCTGGCAGCTAAGTGGCTTCATTACTAATGGACTGAGTCTTTGGTTTCTATCCCTAGCTTTAGGCCTGAGGGTCAAATGGTGCCTGGTTGGTGAACAGTGTCTGTAAAACACAGAAGCAGTTGCTGGAATATGTTTCCAATATTTTCCTTACTAATGACATTTACTCAGCAGCAGCTGTGGTCCAAGGAACAAAAGGTTCTTGCCCAGTGGGCTTGCAGCTGAAGTGACAAAAACCAAAACAATCAACTGCAGCATTTCTGTGTGGCCGTGTGTTGTTGTATTAAGGGTATGCTGTGTTCCGTGTGGGTCTGTTGTTTGCTGTGTAACAAAAACAGCACAAATTATTTCCCGCTTTATAGATACATAAATGAAATATCTATAAATTACATATCAGATAGATATAAATACAGTGTGCAAAACTGTGTTGACAGCCTAGCTTGGAGCACCATCTTTTCTTATGTGTCGTTCAGGTGGTTGCCACTCCATTCTGTTCAGGCTCTGACAGGAAAGAGGCATTTACCTTGTCCTTTCCATATCGCTATAGTCACAACCTGGGTGTCCAGTTAGAAAAGATCCTTGAAAGGAAGGGGGTTTCCTGGGATCTGAAAGAGGGAAAACTACAAACAGATAAGTGGCTGGGGGTGGCCTCAGCTCGCTGGGTCCTGAGCCCCTACTTCACTCCAAAGATACAGATACCAGGGCTGAGGGCTCCAACATGTTTTTTCTTTATATATATATATATCTTTCTCAATATATATATATATAATTGAGAAAGAAATAACATTGAGACAGTTTCAAAACAGGTTAGTAGGACAGTTACAATAATTAATACATTGAATATTGTCTGTAGTAGTTATTCATAGTACAAGATGCAGGTATGATATCTTGTCTAAACATTAGTACAAGTCTTCTCATTGAACTAAGAGAAAGCTGTATATCTATCCTGACTATTTTGCATATACATATATATTTTTTTTTCACTACAAAATAGTCCTTCATTTATATCCCCCTTTTTTTTTTGTTTAGATACATGGTACTTTTTTTTTTTTTTTTTTGCGGAACCGGGGATTGAACTCAGCCCCTTGTGCTTGCCAGGCAAGTGCTTGTTCTACTGAGCCATCTCCCCGGCAACACAAGTTACATTTTTGTTATATAGGCCTTGCTTTATCTTGGTCGTAACCATCCAGCAGAAAAGTATAAAAACGAGGTATAAAAAGTAAAGCCATATTAATATGCTGAGCTGTAAAAGGCTCAAGTGGACAACTTCTGACATTGCCAGTCCTGCAGATAACCCACTTCCATTATGGACTACTGGACTGTATTGGATTACTTTGCTGAACTCACGCACTTACAGTGGCAATGGAACACCCATCCCTTTTTTCTTTTGAGGGGAAATAGGCCCAGTCAAAGGAGTTCCTTAGAAAAACTAGGGTGAAAAACCGAAAAGCGGTTCCTGAAGGGCTTGTTTTTTGTCTGCTCGACCCGCCCTCCGTATTCCCAGGGTGAAAGGTAGGGGGCAGCGTGGTCCCCAGCCATAGAATCTGGAGAACACCGCGAGTACAGCGGGAGAGTACTGAAAACCAGGATCCTCATGCCCAGGGAAGGACCGGGTGCTCAGTACACGCGACCTAGAGGTGAAGTGGACTCAGCGAAGGGACTGCGAGCTTTCTGGTGCTTTAAAGAAACAGCCACACACTTTTCGGCAGCCTTCAGATACTGTATTTCGTTTTCCAACGAAAGCAAGCTTTCCTTGAAGCCCCGCCTCCTCAAAGCTCCTCCCAACTCCAGTAGCCACACCCACAAGCGATCCCTGACCAATCAAAACCCCCGGATCTCGGAAGCCCCTCCCCGCCTGCCCCTGCGGAGAGGGCCCACTCAGCAGTTGGGGTTGAGCACGCGGCAGGAGCAGAAGCTGCGGAAGAGGCGGCACTGGCAGGAGGCGCACGGGTTGCAGCAGGCTGGAGCCGGCGGCTTGCAGCTGTCGCGGGTGGCCACGCAGGGCGCGGGCGGCGGGGGCCGGGCCGGCGCCACCCTCTTCATCGAAGCCTTTCTCTGTGGAGGGAACGCCGGGGCTGCGCGAGTCATCCACACCCGCCCCATTCGTCCTCATCTCTGCCTGGAAATTCCTTGTGCTGTGGATGTCCTGAAAGCGACACCCTTACCTGGCTGTCCACAGACGGCTGGAGTCATGCCCCAGGGCACCCCAACAGGTCTCCTGCGCCCCCAGGTTGTTCCCCTCAACCCTCCACCTCCATCCCCGTCCAGACTTACCTGGCTCAAGGCAGCCCCTTATCTTTCCTAGGGGACCCCACCCAGCTCCACAGTTTTCAACTATGCACTCTTGTTAGTCTTCGGGCTTCTAGTCTATCCTTGATCCCTCTCAGCTGTTTTCTTAATACATCCGGACCTCCTCCCTCATTTTCCTTCCCACGCTGCAACCTTGGGCCCGGCCTTCTCTCGCTGTGGCACCCACGATCTGTCCTCCAGTGTATTGAAGGGACCTCGTGGAAGACTTAGGATGGCAACCCAGCCCTACTAAAGCACAACAGTAATTTGTCTTTATATCTAGGATAAAATACAGACTTTGTTTTGGCCCCTACTCACCTCTCAAGCTGTTTACTCCTCTGGCTCATTGGCTTTCTATGACCCAACACAGCAAGTAAGTTCCTGAGCTTGTCCCCTAGCCTGGGTATACTCTTGGCTGGCTGTACAACACGAGGAGCCACAGTCACATGTGGCTGTTGAATACTGTGTGTAGCAATCAACCAAAGAGCCTATTTTTCTAATTTTATTTTCTTTTAAACTGAATGTAAAAAATTTCCCCTATTAAACACAATTTTATTGTTAAAACCACATTTAACTTTGTTGGAAGATTTAGCATTGAAATTGAGATGTGCTGTGTCAACTATACACCATACTTTAAAGATAGTGTGATAAAGGGAAAAAAATTACTTTTAAAATGACTTATATAGAGGCTGGAGATATAGTTCAGTGGCGTAAGTATTTGCTTAGCAAATTCAAGGTCCTGAGTTCAATCCCCTGTACAAAAAAAAAAAAAAAGAAAAGAAAACATTTACATAGTGGGTCTGGTGGTGCTCACCTGTAATGCCAGCAATCAGGATGCTGAGCCAGGAGGACTCCTGCGTATTTGAAGCCAGCCTAGGCTACAAAGTTAGTTTAAGTCAGCCTGAACTATATAGTGAGACCCTGTCTCAAAAAAAAAAAAAAAAAAAAGGCTTACATTTTTTTCTTTTGCTGTGCTGGACACTGAATCTAGGGCTATGTGCATGTTCAAGCCCTCCACCACTGAAACACATTCCTAGACCAAAAGTCTTTTTTAAAAGATCTTTTATTTATTTGGTACAGGGTCTCACCATACAGCTCAGACTCATAGTGATCCTCCTGTCTCAGCCTCCCCAGTGCTGGGATTATAGTTGTGTGCCACCACATCCAGTTTTGGTAGCCAGAATGGCATCTGGGATTGAACTTGGGACCTTGCGCTTGCCAGGCTGCACTTAGAATGCAGAGCTATCTCCTCAGCCCTCCTACACCAAAATTGATTACATATTGAAATGTTAGTATTTTGAATATATTGGGTTAAATAAAATGTTACAAATAATTGTAACTTTTCTTAATACTTTTTTTGGTACTGGGAATCAACCTCAAGTATTTTGCCACTGAGCTATATCCCTGGCCCCTTACTTGAAATTATCTATATCTATAACTATCTATCTATCTATCTATCTATCTATATGTATATCTATATCACATATTATTTTTATTGGACATTGCTGCTGTAGATTACTGGGTTTTTATTTACATGTGCTGGTGTGCTCCTGTAATCCCAGCACACTGGGAATCCGAGGCAACGGCAAGTTTGAGTCTAGCTGGAACAATTCAGCAATTTAGCAAAAACCTGTCTCAAAAAGAGAGTAGAAAAAGGACTGAGGATGTAACTCAATATGAAAGCATTGAGTTCAATCCCTAGTACAGCCAAAAAAAAAAAAAAAAAAAAAAAAAAGAGAGAGAGAGAGAGAAAGTTCTTCCTTAGGGAAATTCATGCTTTATATCATTATAGCATTTGTCATCTGAATTTAACCTATTAACTGATTTACTTGCTGTTTGCCTATTTTTCCCCACAAGAATGTAATCTCCATGAGAGCAGGGATGTCTCTTTTGTTCATGTCTCTATCCCCAGTGTCTAGTATGCACACGTATTTGGCCTCTGTGTCATCCTGTCAGTCATCTGATCCCTTATTCACTTTAGAGCCAGCAAAACAGATCCAGAGAGGGTCAGGGACTTCCTAAAGATCAGTGTGCCAGGTCTTATTTCCTAATACCTACTATGGTGTTTCCTGGTCTGGTTACAGCTGACCTGGTAGACCGAGGTGCTCCAAACAGGAGTAATATGTTCAACAGTGCTTCAGTCCAGCTTCCCAAAGTGTACAACCTGTGTTACGGTGGTATCATTTTAGGTGGTACCTGAATATTACATGACCCTGAGTCATACAGTGAAAGGATTCTTTCTGCTTCAACCTGAGAGTTTAGTGCTGACATGTCTCAAATGCTTCTTTAATACTTTACAACTCAGATTGAAAGCCTTTGACAGGCAATAATACCATCCAGCTAGATTTCACAGCTAACAGTGTTTTATAGTTACCATCTATTTATAGGGATACTGGTTTTCTATCATGGTTATTTTTAAATTTTGATTTTAAATAAATAGGTAAATCTCAGATATGGTAAATATTGTGGAAAAATCTGAGGTTTGATAAACACTGTATTCATCCAAAAGCATGAGTGATGGTGAAATTTCTGGTTTCAAAAGCTGCTTTTCAGCAAATAAACTATTTTCACAGTGAACTTAACTCTTTGAGCTTCTGTGGGGGCTTTGCTTGTAGCTCTAGGCCAGGAGGAATTCAGGTAGTTTTCAGTTCTTTGGATAATGCAGACTTGGACAATCTTTCATATAGTTTTGTTTTTTTGTTTTTCTTTTGCGCGGAACCGGGGATTGAGCTCAGGTCCTTACGCTTGCCAGGGAAGCGCTTATTCACTGAGCCATCTCCCCAGCCCTCTTTCATATAGTTTTAAACCACAGGTCCTCCCTTTTAAGTCCAATTCTTTTCCCAAAATGAGAACTCCCAGGCCTACCTTGGAAGATCTTTTCCTCTTTTCTGCTTCTTTTTTGCTGATTGTTTTGGATTTCTTCTTTAGTGCTTCAAAGAGAGACAGAAGAAGCAAAGCCAGATGTTTCAGGGGCCGTGAGCTGCAGTGAAATAGGAGGAGCAGAGGGGGCCCTGGGAAGTTTTAGGATGGAGGAGGAGGAGGGGCTGGCTAAATGAATCACATGGGGGGACTGGAGTCCACAGGTTCTTGTTAGCCTGGCTGCTGAGCTGGAGCCAGGCACTCAAAGTGATGTCCTCAGAGGGGGCAAACAAGAAGGTCTTAAGACCTGCCTATGGCATCTCTGAGAGGCGTGGTCCCTTGACCGTGATGGCTGTGGGCTGCTGCTCAGTTACCCCCTTCTTTAGTCTTTAATCTAGCAGGTACAAAAGCATTGTGGTATGAAAGTTAATATAAGCTGGGCATGGTGGTGTATGCCTATAAATCCCAGTACTTGGGAGGCCGAGGCAGACAGATCTTTGGAAATTTGAGGCCAGTCTCAGCTACAGAGTGAGTACAAGGCCAGCCTGAACTGTATATAGAGACCCTGTCTCAAAAAGACAAAAACAAAAAAATGAAAATTGACACTGTCTAGAGCCTGGATGTACCTACACCACCTATTTTTTGTTTCTCAGAACTTGGAGCTGGACAGATCTGATAGAATCCTGACTCTGCCATATAACAAGTATATATTCACCATGCAGTTCAGGCTGGCCTTGAATTCACCATGTAGTCCAAGCTAGCCTCAAACTCATGGTGATCTTCCTGTCTCCGCCTCACAGGTGCTGGGATTATAGGCATGTGCCACCACACCTGGCTCTATACTACTAATTTTGAGGGGATGCGTGCGTGTGTGTGTGTGTATGTGTGTGTAAAGAGAAAAAAATAATAAAAGCAATTGTACAAAATTTCAAGACAAGATAGAGTAATGATGGTTAGTACATTGCTTATTGTTATCTTCAAAGTAGTTGCTCAGATTAACATGTGCTAGCTTTCAGGGCCAGCGGTATAGCTCAGTGGACTAAATGCTTAGGTAAGCGCAGGGGCCAGGGTTTGATCCCTGGCATGACATGCCGCGCCAGCCCTGCCCCCGGGCATGCTGAGCTGTAGTCTGGGCATGGTGGTGCTTGCCTGTAATCTCAGGACTAGGGAGGCAGAAATCAGGAGTATCACTATGAGTCCAAGCTGTGTAATGAGATCCTGTACACACACACACACACACACACACATACATAAAAAAGTTGTTTTTTAAAGTGAAATGTCTAGCAAAGGGACTGTTGATGTTCCCTCCCTTGCCTGACTTTACTTATCTGATGTGCCTAGAAAATACCCTCTTTTCCTAATGAGAGCCAAGATGATAAAGATATTAGTTTTGGATTAAATGCAGAATTTATCTGTGTTTGAAAACTGACACTATCAGTGAAAAACTGGGATATTAGGCTAGTTACTTAGCTGTTGTAAGCCTTAATTTCTTTATTTTTTATTTTTATTTATTTATGTGTGTGTGTGTGTGTGTGTGTGTGTGTGTGTGTGTGTATGTGGCCAGCTCAGTCCACCAGGGGGCGGGGCTGGCTGGCATGTGGTACTGGGGGATTGAACTGTGGTCCCAGTGCTTTGCTAAGCTTGTTCTAAGTAGGTGCTTTAGACCACTGAGCCATCTCACCAGCCCCTTAATTTCTTTAAAATGATGATTGATAAACAAAACCAGGGCCAGCTGAGTCTAATGGCACACATCTATAGTCTCAGTAATTTAGAAGACTGAGGCAGGCAGGTCTCAAGCTCACACAGTCTGGGTAACTTAGTGAGACTCTGTCTCAAAAAGAGGTGAGGGGACTAGCTCAGTGATACAGCGCCTGCCTGTAAGAGTGAGGTCCTGAGTTCAATTCCTGGTGCCAAAAAAATGGTGTGCATGTGAGAATATAGCTCAAAAGGAGAACACTTACCTAGTGTGTGGTATTCTGAGGTATGTGTGAGGCCCTGGGTTACAACCCCAGTACTGCCACCTCCTTTCCCCCACAAAGAGCCCTACAGTGCCCACCTCACAGTGCTCAGCACATAGTAAATACATCTATTATCATTATTATTATTATTACTGTTTTAGCTATGGGGATTGAAGCCAGGGCCTTGAGCATGCTGACCGCATGCTCTACCACTGGGCTATCACCTCAGCACCCGTTTGTTGTTCTTCATATCAGGTGAAGTCAGATCATAGCCTCTGCAGTGACACACTCTAATGGCTCTCATGGTTTTTGATGAGAGGAAGTTTCAATCCTGATATGGCAGGACTGGCTCATTCTAGATTTGGTTTTAATCTGCAGCATTTCCAGAGTTCTGTGATTTATTTAGTATTAGAGATGTTAAGTTAAATCAAGTTCACCAAGCATCTTAACTTGAGCCTTCCTTGGGCTCTCTAACATGCTGTTTCATCAGGCTGATGGTATATGCAGGGGTTTTTTTTTTTTTTTTTTTGCAGAACCAGGGATTGAACTCAGGCCCTTGCACTTGCCAGAGAAGCGCTTATTCCACTGAGACATCTCCCCAGCCCCTATGCAGGGCTTTCACAGACCAAAGGAATCAATGAGCACTATGTATTTCCCTAGGACTATTTTGCAGAATGAGCAAGGAGGCACTGTAGCCATGGCAATAGATCCTGATAGCAGCATAGGGAACAGGCTTGACATCTATCCTACAGCCCCTCTTCCCCCCGCAGGCCAGAGACTGGTCCTCAGGCCCAGGTGCTTACCCACAATAGAGACAGAGGGGAAATCCAGTAGGTTCTTAGAGGAGTTGTTTCTCAGGCATCCGTCATCTTTGGGCTTCTCCTCAAGGGGCAGGTAGCTGCAGGCAGTGAGGAAGCATAGGAAGACCAGTAGGGTGGCCAGGAGCAGGCGGGTGACATCCATCCTGAGAGGCCTGAGTGGGCAGAGAAGGGACCAGTGGCAGGTGGACCAAAGGTAGTGGCAAGACGATGTGCCTTCCTGCTTCTTTGTTTCTTTGGGTTGGTGTTCTGCCCCACAAATGTCCAAGTGAAGCCAGAGGATTGGAAAGGGGAACAGATGAAGGAAGAAGAGAGAAAAGGAGAGATGGGGAGAGGAAGAGAGAAAATCAAGGAAGGAAGGGAGAGAGATCGAAGTAAAGAGAAAAGAAATGCGTTGTGTTAGTCTCTGCTGACCAGAGGGCGGAGTACTGACTGTTGTATTTTAAAGTGAGCGGCCCCAGGAGATCCTAGGCCTGAGAAGAGTTGTTGAAAGGCCCTGCAACTGTGCCTCACAGTGGCAGAGGTTTTATTAAGGTGCAGGGAATAAAGCTAATAAGTTAAGGCACAGTGAGAACAATGCAGTGATAAATGGCTCCTTTAGACAAGTGTGTACACTGTTTCACACACGAGATTCCCCCCCCCCCCACAGAAAACCAATGCAGGTACAGTTTGTGGTGGGGGCTTGGACCTGTTGGCATAAGGTAGCTGAATTTATTTATCTGTTAGGTGGATTCTGAAGGAGGCAGACAGAGCTCAGAGAGAATTTCTTCCCTTGAATGCCTGGGTTTGGCTCAGTTGTGACTCAAGAGTTTCAGCAGCATCCTGTGCTCTGAGTATGGGCTGCCCACTCCTTATCTTCCACTCTTCCATTGTCTTTCTGGTCTTGAAAAAGGCTGGGACTATGTTTTTGGGGTCCCATGTACCCACAAGTTATTGACTGGGGAGAAAAGAACAAGGCACTTTGCTCCTGTGTCCTGTCCATTCTTGGGTGTCCCTTTCAGCAGCTTGGGCAGCCTCTAGCTTTCTTCCCCCAGCCCTCAGCTTGGTTGGAGTCAGTGATCTGCATGTCTGATACCTGCAGGAAGTGAGGCCCCAAACACTGGTCTGTGTTCTTATTCCAAGCTTTCTGAAGCTGCACAGGACAGTTCTGACCTTTTGAAGTCCAACTTCTATACTTGTCAGCCCAGTGCCTGCTTTTTCTGATTTCTCCAGATGCTCTCACCTTTGGACACTTTCTATCACAAACTGGCCCCTAATTTTCTATGTTAAAAACTGGCCTGAAGGGGCCGGGGAGATGGCTCAGTAGAATAAGCCCTTGCCTGGTAAGCACAAGGACTTGAGTTCAATTTCCAGTTCCGCAAAAAAAAAAAAAAAAAAAGAAAGAAAGAACTGGCCTGAAGACCATACTATAGCTCGGATTATCAATTAGATAAGCCAATAAATTTACTGTTTCACACTGACTTCATCTCCTGTTTTGTTTTTGCTTTGCAAACCTTGTTTACTGTCGACTGCCCCTGACTACATCTTAGTATTCCTCCAGGGCCCCATTCAAGGCCAGTAAACAGACCTTTACTGTTTTAAACTAGTATGAGTAGTTTTCTCTTAATCAGTGGAGCTGCCTCTATAAGTGGTTTAGGTCAGAAGTCAGAGGAACAAATGGTATAGAATGCAATTTTTTTCCAGCATGGCAAATAATGCCTCCCCCTAGTTGTCTTCTCTTTGCTTCCCTTCCTCTTTTCCCTTTTTCTTTGCTCCTTTCATTTTGCTTTTCTTTGGCTAGCTCAGGCTGTCTTAAGTGTGGGTCTGGTGCTGGGGATCGAACCGCAGTCCCTTGACCCTGACTGATTGTGACTGATTTTGCTCAAGAAGGTGCTTTAGACAACTGAGCTAACCTGCCAGCCCCCAACTCCTTTCATTTTGAAGAACAAATTTGCTTTCATTTGTGGGGCACAGAACAAATATTGAATGGAATAATTCACTTTTTTTTTTTTTTTTTTTTTTTTTTTTTTTTTTTTGCGGAACCGGGGATTGAACTCAGGCCCTTGCACTTGCCAGGGAAGCGCTTATTCCACTGAGCCATCTCCCCCGCCCCTGTGTGATTTTTTTTTTCACTTTCTTTCAACATCAGATCACAATTGGCACAGTGGAAGACTCCCACTGTGAGAGAGATACAGGAACTGAGACAGGCGGGGGGACCAGCAGACCCCAGCTCCCAATTCTTGAGTGACTATCCTAGCAGATACTTTCTGTGTGGGAGGTTGAGCACAACCACCAATACTGTTTAAATTGCACCTTTCCTTGCTTCACTGACTCACAAAATACTGAAGTTATCTTTGTATATGTTCAATATGTGCACGATCTGGCTCCATTGTACTCTCTACCTTTGTCCAATGACCATCTTCCTCAGTAAAGAATCTTGGTCTCCATGTTTGCCTTTTTCTCTTAATCTTTATATTCTTTCACCAAATTTTACCTTATGTTCCCTTCAGATTACCTTATTTTCCATTTCCTCTTCACCTCAATCCATTTCTCACTTACCATAGAACAAGTTTCACCCTGACTTCACGTCCTGCTTTGTTTTTGCTTTGCAAACCTTGTTTACTCTCAACTGAGCCTGACTACATCTCTGTATTCCTCCAGGGCCCCATTCAAATACAGAGTATAGCCCATCTTCTCTTCCAGCACTAGGCCAGCTCACATAGTGCTCTCTCTTTTTTGAATTCCTCAAACTCTTAAACTCAACAACATATTGTTTATTACTTCATTAACTGTTCAGATGGGCTATTCTCATCTTTTATGCATAGTTCTTTGTTTAAAGGAGGTAGGACAGTGTAGTTGAAAGAATGCAGGCTCTGCGGTCACACATACGTGACTTCACTACTTACAGCTACTTTCAAGTTATGTGAGGATGTAGGGGAGAAAGAACCCCTCTACCCCCTCTTAGTTCTTATGTGGGCTCTTTGGCTGGATCTAGAAACAATTAATACAAGAACTGATTAACTAGAGAAAAGCATAAACATTTTATTTAATTTAGATGTACAAGGGGATCTTCATAAGAGTGAAAATCAAAGAAATGCCCCAAGCATGTTGCTTTTATACTTCTTAGACAAAGAACAATAGATTTATGAAGTAATGACGGACAAATGGCTATCTTCATTAGGGTAGTAATTTTTAGGGGTGTTCTTAAGAGATGTATGGGAAGAGGGCTCGTAAAAGCTAGTGGAAGATAAGAGTTACTTCATGGTTTCCTCAGGTTCACTGAAGCCATAATTACCCGTATGTGATAACCAAGTCTGTATTTTTTTTTTTTGGCTTTGTTATGTGAAAATTATTCCTTCCCAAAGAGTCTTTATATCTCTTTTGTTTGGTTGGTTTTTGTTGTTTTGAGTCTGTATGTCTTGCTGCATGTAGGAAAAGAAAGGCCAAGTGATCGTGTGAAAGTTACAATTCCTCAGGTGATTTCAGCTTGCGAGGCAATGCACTCGTTTGCCTATTTGAAATGGCAATCTCTATCTCTTTCCAGGGCAAGCCATTAAATGGTTCCTTCTTCATGAACGGTGGCATCATACTACTGATTACAGAAGGCATGCTGGGAGTTAAAACACGACCAGGACTCAGTACATTCCTGGTATAAATATTAGTTACACACACAGACACACACACAGACACACACACACAGACACACACACACACACCCCTACACCTCTAGCTCTGCGCTACATTCCCAGCCCATTTCATTTTTTTGGAGACAGGATCTTGCTAAGTTGCCCAGGCTGGGCTTGATCTTGGAACCCTCTAGCCGCAGCCTCCTGAATAGCTGGGATTACAGGTGTGTGCTACCATGTCTGGCTAGTTACCTACATTGATTGTATATATGTTTAAACAGTTGTGTTGTGGCATTTAATACTTGCTCTTAAATTCATATTGTCTTGATTTTAATCCTGGACAAAATCCTGGACAATTCCTCCAACTCTAAGAAGCTTACAATAAGGATGGGGGACTGAGAGAGGAGAGTACATTTCAGAAAACTTAAAAAAAGCTCAATAAGGCTGGCAAATAGATGTAAATGGAGGGAGAAGCAGGCACCAGATCATGATGGGATTTGCAAATCATGGCGAGGGGCACACACAATATCTTTGGGCCAATGGGAAATGAATTTTCTGTTTTGTTTTTGTTTATTTGCATACTGGGGACTGAATCCGTGTTCTCATGATTGCCAAGCGTGCACTCCATCACTGAGCTATATCCTTAGCCCAAATGAAGAGTTTTAGATAGGGAAGAGACTTGATCAAATCATGTTGTAAAAAGAGCTCTTGACCACAGTGTGGGGCCAAAGGCAGCAAGACTGGCAAGAAGAAAAACCAGGTAAGAGGCTGATGCTCAGTTTCTGTCGTTCCTCTGCTGTGCTCATCGTATTCCAAAAGAAAAGCAAACGCTATCGCCCCAGAAATGTACCGCGGCCATCCCCGCCTGCCCTCCAACTTCGTTTTTTCACCATTCACTAGAACTTAGTGACTGATCTTCTGTGGGGAAGTATAACATCTAGTGAAGCTTGGGTAGGTCCTGATCCCCGCACAAACCCCGTTCCTTCCCACTTCTTTAGCCTGTCTAGTACGTTAACCTGATCACACTATGTGGCTAGATATAGGAGTATTCATTTATTTATTTATTTTGCAGTACCAGAGACTGAACTTGGGACCTTGCACATGCCAGCCAGGCGCTTATGCTGCTGAGCTGTCTCCCTGGCCCAGCATTTATTTATTTATTTATCTATCTACCTATCATTTTTGTTTTTTCTTTTTAGTTCAGGCTGGCCTTGAGCTCATTTTGTAGCCCAGGCTGGTTTCAAACTTGCAGTGATCCTTCTGCCTGAGCCTCTGCTGTGATAACAGGTGTGCGCCACCAGGCCCAGCTTATCTATCTTTTTTTTTTTTTTTTTTGG